GCCTCCCCTAGGATCATTTTGTTGTTCATTAATCTCTCTCAAAGGCGGTCTTCAAAATCAATTGGCCGAAAATGAGATAAAAATGTATTCTTCAATGCTTCTCAATTCGAGAATTGACCCACTGGTTGACAATTGTACCATTCAAACGCCATGTCTTTTAAGGTCAATGGCAGCCATCGCAACCAAATATCTTCAGTTCTGCCATTATTAGCTATACATGTTGTAAGAAACTAAGACAAATATTGATAGGGATCCGCATCCGAAAATCTCCAAAAAGTAGGTAGTCGCACGACACTAGTTGTACGATCACCTACTGCACCCATTTGTATTGCAATCGGAACGGCTGGTCCTCCTGACGCCATTGATTTTCTTGTTCCACTAAACTCCATTTTAAAATAATCTTTGCTTTCCCTTATTCTAATTTTCGAGCTCTCAGTGCTCCTCGATTTACTGTTATTTTTTACAAATAATTTTATTGGTTGAATTGCAGGTGAAAACGTCAAATTTTGAAATATAATATAGTTATCTTTATTGGCGACTAATTTGTGCCAATCTGAAGAGCCACTATTGCTCGTTTCAGCAGTACCCTTTACTAGAAAAATACCCAATGGAGTACCAAATTCTTCTACACCTCCTTCTCTTTCAGTTAACGGCCTCAAGATTTCCACTGGAATGTTAACAAAATTTCCCGTGAGTGTTCTTGGCAATTTTTCTAACGATACATATGACTGCAGAATTAACAGTCTGTCTAGTTCTTGATATGTTTGGATGCGTCGATAAGCTTGCAACCATGGTTTAATCCAATTCTATCGATGCTTCTTTTTAAGATTATGTTCTTGCTCCTCTCTAAGCAAGTTCCTTCCTTATGCTCTTTTCTATCTTTCTCTCAACTGATTTATTTTCCTCGATGCAATGCTCTCGTTCTTATTAACCATAATCTTGCTTCAAACACTACTAAAATCGTCTTCCATTGCCAATTTTCTCACACGTTTGGTAATTAATTCCTAATACTCAAAGGTATTATCACTCCCCGTCAGCGACGCCAAAATGTGATTGCTCGTTTTACTTATTCCAAATTAATCTAATGGAAATAAACTTGTATTCGGGGATTTGAACACAAAGAATGACTAGTTGCTTAAGCGTTCACGTTAGGGTCACACAATCAATTACTTCCTGAACATATCATCTCTATTTCCAATATTTGAACACACAAGGAAACTATAATCTCCTCCTTCACCTTATCGAACTCTTCCTTACAACAATTCAGTCATACCAATAACTGCTATTTCCACCAATATATTCACCCTCATAATCTCCAACTGTAATACTGTGCCCTCACAGCTTTCAGCACACAATTACCCTCATTCCAATCACTGGAATTCTTCACACAGAATTGCCATTCACATTACAGTGTTTCACACAAACACATACTCATTCTCTCTGCTGAACTACAACCAAATTTCAGCATTCAATCTTTCTTCTTCTCAAATAATACCAATCACATTTCCATTCCATAATTCACTTCACAATATTCAGAAACTCTCAATCCTCTTATTCAAAGAAAATAACAAACAAAAGAAAAGAGGTAGTACCAAGCTTACCCCAGCTCACAACTATCACAACGATGGCACCCTAATTAACTTCTACAACTCCTATATACTTTCCCCTAATTCTCCAGATTCTAACCGTAATTCTGTAATTAACTGCTTGTAAGAACTAAATCACTCATCCGTCTTCTTGAATTTTCTATTATATGGACTATTAATATATTTTACTAATATCTTTCAAAAATGAATTAATATCTATTCTATAGCTCGTAAAGATCTGCAATAATTACAAATCTATTCTCACTTTTGCTGAAAGTAGCATCTATAATCTTACCTTCTATAGATAACTCAAACAAATTCAAAAAGTTAAATTAGAGGAAGGTAATTTTTAATTTCTAATATTAAATGAAAATTTCTACAATGAAGGATAATCTACTCTCTTTAAGAAAAAAATCAATGTTAGAAAATTAAATTATTTATTTAAAGGTGGATAGTCTACAATCTTCAAAATATAATAATAGAAGTAAAATAATCCACTCACTTTTAAAATAAGACAAGAACAATAATTTGGCACTCTTATCAAATTATCAAGGATATGAACCTCAAAGAACTAAAAAATCAATACACTCTTATGTCACTCAAAAAGACTAAAAAATCACTCAAAGATGATATAGTCTTAAATTAGAATGGCTATTGCCAAAGACAAGAAGACTAAAAAGTCTCGAAATAAGACTTAAGACTAAAAATATATTGATAAAAGTTAAGGTTTCACTCTTACCTCTATATATACTCTTTAACTAGAAGTTACATGGCAATATGCTATATAATCTCCAACACATGTTGTCTTTGCTACAAATATGTCTTAACTTGTAAGGCAAGTTATCTATATGTAGGCCACATAGTTAGCTTGTTCCACAAGCTAGTAACACATGTAATACTTGGTTAATTTTTTTTATTAAGTTTATAGTCTACTAATTAAATACAAACACAAGTCAAAGCAACATCTATGAAGCTTATAAGAAATTTTTTTAGAAGATATTATGAAATTAATTTATTTTTATCTATTTTTATATAATTATATAGGTAATTATTGGAGTAAATATGTATGTCTATGTCACCATCCTCTTTCTCCAACCTAAAAATCTTTTCATACAATTTTTTCCTTGTTAAACTATTCAATTGCTTCAAAAATTAGTTGATATGTAGATTTCTAAGTCTAAATTTCTTTCACTAATTTTTTTTTTAAATGAATTAGTGAATTTTTTAGGATCATAAAAACCCTCACTAATCCTAATTTTTAAAAATCTAACACTTTAATTCAATAAAACTCTCATATTCTTTAATCTAACCTTTTGATTGATATCAAATCTTTCAAACACATTAAAGACAAGCACAATTACAAATTCACAATGTATCACTTGTAAATATGCTACGACACTCAAAAGATACTCAAAATTATAAACCTCTTCTAATTTCTCAAAATCCAAAACCACAAAGTACATCTTTCATTTTGAATAGCCCTCAAAATTCAATGTCTTTAAATCACATGAAACCAACTCTCAAAAAACCCCTCACTAGTCTATTCTCAAATTTCATTCTTCAATCAACAAAAGAATCTTAGAATTGCTGTAGATGCATGGTTTTGTGCCTTGGGGTCTGATTTCAACCCTGGTTCATAATTGGTCCTCTCCAAGTACCAATTCTTGCTATTTTGGAATAATTTTTTTCTAAACCCTATTCTTAACTTCTTCCTAAAGATGTCATATGATTTATTTTTTTAATCTATTTTATTTTTTCTTATTTATAGCCTTAGAAAGTAAATAGAAGCCTCTCTTAATAGAAGGCACCATCAACACTTATTAATTTTACTGCCTCCTTGTTTGTTATCTATATTTCTAAACTAATTTGCTGAAATATTTTTATTTAAGCTCCTCTATAATATAATCTCTCTTTTCTTCTTTTATCTAATAGATGTGTTACAACATTATAATATAAAAACATATTGATTATAGATCAATATTAAATATAATAGTCAATTACCATTTATATGTTAATGAATTAAAGGAGCATTATTTTATAACTATAATTACTAAAAGAAAAAAAAATTAAAAAAATTAAAATATCTTTAAAGTACTTGTAGCAATCTTAAAATTTTGGGCTAAATTTATTAATCAATGTTAATATTTTCCAGCATTGCAAACAACACAATAAAACAACAATGTAGATTGACTTTTGACTATGCAAATGATAATATTTTTTAAAAAGCTATATATTTAATATTTTATTATTATCAATTCTACAATATTTATTGTATATTAGATATAATAACTATTTTATTTTTAAAAAAAAGTTACAAAGCATTAAAAACTATGAAAACATTAAACAAACTATTGATTTTATATTAAACCTTCATCATTTTTAATATTAATAATTTAACAACAATATAGATGTTGATGATTTTATTCCAAAAAATCATATTCCTATTGAAGATTAGACTAGCTATTAGATACTCTTAGAATACAATTAGCAAAGAAGTCATACCAATCAATTGGAGCCAATTACTACCATTCATTTATAGTTTTAAGCTTTGGTAGATGCCAATGATTGATTGCAATATCTAGATTCAAAATATTCTATGGTATACCTCATTTGTGGTTGTACTTTTACTTACCAATAAAGAGTAGATTCTACAACAAATCTTTTATAACATTAATGGCTACATTTGAATCTTCTTTTTTTAAATCTCTTTTTGTATAAAGATTATTGTAGAAAAAGCTTTTAATTACTTTTTTGTATTAGTAATAAATAAATAAATAAATAAATAAAATCATACAATTCCAACTATTTCAAATGTGCATGATAGGCATCAAAATATTGTTGTATTATACATGGTATTTACAATCTACAAGCCAGAGTTTATGTACTTAAAAATTAAAGGAAAAGAATTAGATCTCAACTTACATTGTAATATTCAAAAAATTAATATAAATTACTTTATTGATTCATTCACATAATGAGAATTTGATTGCAAATTATTTCAACCTAGTATAAAAAAATAATAAAATCCGACAAAAAATACTATAAAAAGACACTTAACAAAATACTTATTTTAGACTTAATCATCATACAAGTGGTGTTTATTGTCATATTTTAAAATTAAGAGGTTTAGTTGATATAGTTTACATATTTTACATTTCACACCCAAAGCATTACATTACCCAAATCTTGTAAAATAACCACTCGTAATATATCACCTGTTATATGACGGGATACTTAAGAATTTCGATCACTATATCCCAATAATTATTGTCTCTGTCTACAACACTTCGGTTTGAAGAACAAATATTATTTTGAAGAGATTGTGTGTGTTAACAGGTTACAAATAAATCAAAATTATAGTGATAACAACGATTCTGAGAATAATAACATCATCCAACCCAGCATAGAATGTTGTGATTCAACTTCATCTCAGTGCACATTAGCCCAGCAGACTAAATTGAACTCAGCAATTACGTGGTGGCTTCGAATAAAATGAGCCAGAGACATCGCTCCAAACGCAATGCTTTCTCCTCTGCTCCCATAGCATGGACTGCCGTGAACTAATGCAGATCAGGAAATGGATCTGTCGCCTTCTTGCTTAGGTATGATCCAAGGTCTAGTAACTTGATGATTGATCCTCAACTTTCTCTACAAGCTCAGCCTGCCTACTCAAAATATGACAAGAAATCTTACCTATACCATAAAGTACACCGTGTCTATTATTAGACGACCCTGCTAGAAATCTTACAACAGGCAAGCTTCACACGACGTAAAATGGTGGGGACCTAAAACCCTCAAATTGCTCCCACTAAGAAAAGAAAAAAAATTCTGATCTTCAAGCTATGTGGTAGATTTCAAACCAAAAACCAAAGGGACAATGGTTAATCCTGCTTCTCCAGCTCGCCCATTCTTTCAATAATCGCCTGCAGCAGACGCTTTTACTATCAATTTTTTATACAACACACGATGAAAGACCGAGGCACAGAAAATTAGAAAGGAAAGCGCGAACTGTGCAAACCAATGTTTCGAAAGGCATTTAAATAAGAATCTGTTTTTTATCTCAAATTATCAAGATCAGTTCTTTAATATCTTTACCTTTTTGCTGGTTTCTTGCAATTCTCCAGCGAGAATGAATTCGTCTAATATCAGATACACCTGTCAACCATAGCATGAAAACGTTATTTTCACACCACCACAATACAAACATTCGACATGCATCCTACAATCCACCATGAATCTTAATACGGAGATCTAGATGTCAACAGATGTAAGTTACTGTGCAAAAAGCTTGATGACGTATGTTCCAAATGTCAAGAGAAGAAACGCAATTAAACCTTGTGGAAGTTGAAGACCAAATCCAGCTCACAGACGTTGCTGAAGAAATGGTCCAATATCTCCACAAACAAATGAATGCTTTCAAGATAGGCCAGCTCGTTGTCTGTGATATCAACGCACATTGAAAAGAAAAGGCCAGCATAACGTCGATAAATGACCTTGTGTGTTCGGAACTGTTCCACAATATGTTAAATGAGAATCAGCGCAAGATTAACGAGTTCCATTTTACACAGGACTAATCACTGGTAAAAATGATAAAGAGTTTTCAAGCTTAAGGACCTCACAGACTCAAAATCAATTACTAATCATTTCTTGAACAAACTGGATACAACACGGAAAACATGTAACCACGAGACACGTCAAAGCGACAAGACACTTACCTCTACGAAATTAGTGAACTTCGGATCCCTATTAACAACCAGCCTATGAACCTGCACAAAGACTGGAAAGATCAATACAACTCCAAATATGCTCCGAAGTAACATTTTCTTAATTTAAAAAATGCAGTTGAACATGTGGTCTAAACAGATGCTGACTTCCGAAGCAGCGATCAGGAATCTAACGAATTTACAGAAACATATAATTCAAAAGAAAAAACATCTTCAAAAGAAAATCTTCCCGATCAATGCTTGGACCTACCACTTCTGCAGCTTTCTGAAAAGATACATTCCAAAAGTAATTAAAATATTCTGATGAGCGGAAGTTAAAATAAAACCGCAGAATACTCTCTAGTATCAAAAATCACTACCTCATACTCCAGCTTGTGCTTTTCAGAATCCTCCAGTGGAATGTAATACTTGGCAAGGCGAGTTTTTCCCTGCCGATTCTGCAGAAGTATAAACCGAATCTGCTCCAAGCAAGCGTCGTCAATGGTCAATACTTTTACTTTCATCCCACCTTTGTTCTCCATATCTTAGCATTTACCAAGCATCAGGTACACGTGATATCCCTAATCTCTAAATAAAAAGAATGAACGGTACTCATCCTTAACTCAGAAATCAAACAGAACCTCGCTGACTTAAATCCGATCAGCTCCTACACACGTCCAAGAACAACCCTAAATTTCCTCCCGTGAAAACTGCTACCAAGACAGTCAACTACATCAAATTCCAAGTCCACCACGTTCCTAAAACGCGCGTAACATCGAGCTCCGACACTGCTAATTCGATAGTAACACTACTCGAAACTAGACAAGCACCAAACTCGACCTACATTCACAATATACACTCCTCTAACTCCCCATTCCTCCAAAACTTCTATCCTCCTGACATTACCTTATGTCCTCCAAAATAGAAAACAACAATACCGCTCATCCCAAACCTCAAAATCCAGAGATCTAAACTCTGGAAGCATTCAAATCCAACCAATACAAGCTACTTAGTACTATTCCCCACGATCTCTGAAGAAAAAAACCAAGTCCCGAATCCTGACGTCCGCGATTTCAGTTTCTTCGAGAAAATGAAAAGACACCTACCATGATTCTAGAAACGTTACGCGGGCCGAGAGCAGCTCGTCCTGCATAAGCGCCGCTGGGAATTGCGCGTGAACACGAGATGCAGAGGAAGATTGCAACAACGTCGAGCAAAGCCTGATTCTGAAGAAAGAGCCAAGCTTGGAGAAGCGTTGAGCAAGGAGAGGTGTTGGATGCACGATTGAGGTTGTTTCATCCATCTTGAGCATTCGTTTCTCATTCATCTCTCACCTATAATTTCATCCACTTCTCGCATCCATTTTTCATCCCTTTGCTTCTCCCATCCGACCTTCCTCTCTCGTTGCATTGATCTCGATTTTTGCAAAAAATAAACAAACATTTAAAATTTTCATTTCAAAGGTATCATAACACCAATAGGATTTTGGATTTTATTCCATTTTTATATTAAATCATTCATGAAGTCAATACAAAGATAGAGCTATTTAGAATTATATAATTATTTTATTATATCACCTATTTTTTTTAAAAAAAACCTCAATCACCTAAAAGATAGAATAAAAATGATGCCACCAAAATTTCAGCTATTGCCATTACCTTGCCATTCACTTAATATAATAGCAAAAATTGTGGTGGCATTAGCAAGTCCCTAAAGGTATATATCTAATAAAAACAAGGATTTACATCCTATTAAAATCTACAATTATGTAAAAAATTGAAAAAAAATTAGATTTTAATAATGTTAAGTCACATAAAATTTTAAGTCTAGTATGATTGATCTTCATTTAAACAATAATAATAAGATGTAAATATTTTATTACGTTTAAATTATGAATATTATAATTTTTACATATTAATATTTTTATTATTATAGTTGAAATAACAACATTATAGAGAATATTTTTAATGTACAATAAATATTAAATTCCAAATTTTTTATTATAATATATACTTAAATATACATGCATTGAATATATATATATATATATATATATGTTATGATTTCTTTTTATGATATATAATTATAAAAATGGTTCTTTTTTTCTTCCTTCAATTATTTGCCTATGATAATAAGATTGAATATATAAAGACAGGATTATTTTCAATGATTTAGACTATTGATTAACAATAGTTTTAAGTTTTAACCAAATGGGTAGTATTGCCTTTAAGATTGGTCATTAAAATTTATTTTATCATAATTATCTTTCTAATTTTTTTATTATTAGTATTTTTTACTTTTTATAAATTAATAAATCCCTTTTATTATTATTTTCTTTCTTTCTATTTGAATCTAAATCCTTTTAGCATATTGTGTTCAAATTTCTTATTTAAAAACTTTGTTCTTCTTTATTGTGCAATTCTAGAATTTTTATTTTATTTATTTGATTTGTATCCAATTTTAGAAGTATATATTTATTTTTATTTTATTTTTACTTTATTATGATACTTCATAGTTGATTCTTACTACCATCTTTATTCTTTCTTGATGTATCCCTTCTTGTAGCTAGCATTTAATTAAATTATCTATTTTTGAATAATTCTTATTATTTTTAATAATCTTTTTTATTCTTCTATAGTCTATTATTATATAATAATTTTCTTCCAACTTCACTTCATACTTATTATATTTTTGTTATTTTTTACTTTAATTTTTTTATTAACCTTTATTTATGTACTACGCTTATTCTTTTGTAGATTTTGGAATTATTTATCTTGTTATAGTTGTCTTTTGTTCTTTCTTGCTCATAGAATATTTGCTAAAAATGTTGTTGTTGTCAATCTGTTTCATCTCCTATTGTTGATTTAATTTTTTTTTCTAATTCATTTTTTTTTAAGTAAAAAATATTTTCAAAACTAAATTTTTTTATCAAATAGCTTTTTTCTTATTCATCTCTTTAGTATTCAATATTGAATAACATCAACCAATTGTTTTGCTAGATTTGTTCTATATGTGCTCTTTGCTTCCATTTTTTTGCCTATTAAAAATACTTCTTATCTAAATTTGTTTATTTACTCATATTTTGCCTAAAATATATCTTCTTTGCCTATAATTTAAGTTTGACACTTGAAAAGTATAAAAATATAAAAATATAAAATTATACATAATTTTATCCTCAATGTAAAAACTTTGAAATTCTTAGAAAAAAATAATAAACAAAGAAAAAGAGATCATCTTCCTTTTTATTATAAAGAGTCTTTACTATTGCTACCTTCACCAACTAACTTCTAATTTTTACAACTATTGATGTACTATCCTAAATTATTTATATTTTAGCATATTTAAACTAAATATCTTTTAAAAAAATTCAATGTAACTTCCAAATTTATTTTTTGAATTATTTTTTTACAATATTTATTTTTAAATTAATTATACTATTACAATAATAATAGATACTTATTCTACAACTAATTTATATTATATTCATATATATATATATATATATATATATATATATATATATATATATATATATATATTATTTTCAATTAATTAAAAAAATTATAACTTTTTATAAATTTAAACTATTAATATTACAACAATAGAACCATTTCATTACTAGATTAGGATCTATAGTTTTGGATATAAATGAAAGATTGGCTTTAATTCATACTTCATTTTAATGATTGGTAAGCATTTAATTGGTATTTTAACATTTAAAATATAATTTTCTAAAAATATATGGATAGTACATCAATGTTTTTTAAGATGAACTTGATAAGTTAAAATAGTATTAAAAGACTTGTGCCAAACTTATTTCATCTTTTAGAATGATGTAGTAGTTGCTTTGGTCGTTCATTTTAATGATTAATTAAATAATTAATTAATCAAGAAATGATTTAAATTAAATGCTTACCAATCAATCATTAAATTATTAAAATAATTTGGTCTAATTAAAAAAGAAAGATTCAATAAAAGATAATGGTATCTAAGAAGTAATTTTAGCAATTAGACCATCATCAATAAGTGGTTGTCTTCTCCCATTTTCCATATTAAATATAAGCCAATAAGTAGAATTGACTTTAATAGGTCTACTTCCATCATTTAACTCATTATGTGTATTAATAGTTCATTTAAAGACCATAAATATAGATATTATAAGCAACTAAATATAAAAAATTTAAAACTTTAGATATACAAATAATGACGTGTTATATATAATATATAATTTGTTAATATAGTTTGTTATTGTCACAAACATACGTATTTATCTTAATTAAAAGAATTAAATAGAAGTAAATAGAAGTAAATAAATTTGATATTATCTTATAGATAAGCTTTTTAGAAGCTTAATAGATGCAGTATTATATTCCAAGAACTTTGCTTGAGAATGCATTGGACATTTGGTAGTAGAAGATAAAATAGAATTTGTAATAATAAGGTCTTAAGAACTTTAATATAATTTTAAACAAAATCCAATTAAATCTTAATGATGCTACTCAAACTTTAATCGAATCCAAAAGAAGTCGTAAAGAAATTACAAAAGAAATATAAAGAAATAATAAAATAATCTTTAAAATATATATATATATATATATAAAATAAAAAAATCCTAAAGAAATTTAAAAAATAGAATTCCTAAAGAAATATCAAAGAAATGTTTTTTAAAATATTCAAAATAAAAATCCTAAAAAAATCCTAATGAAATTTTAAACCAATTTTAATCAAATTCTAATCAAATATTAATCAAAATCTTAATCAAATCTTAATCAAATCTTAATCAAATCTTAATCAAATTCCAAATCCTAAATAAAATCCTATCAAATCATAAAATAAATTCTATTCAAATCTTAATCAAATTCTAAATCAAATCCAAAGAAATCCTAAAACTCTAAGACTAAATGCATCTATGTACTACACCTTCCTTTGAACCTGATTTTTATCTTGTTGATATTCTTGATGTTTGACCCTTCTCTTCAAGTTTTGAAAATTTTATTTGAAAATTTTTCATTCCATATACAATTTCATCAATGATTATTTCTTCTTTCTTTGATATAGACATTAAAGATTAAATTATAGATATATAATGGTGAATAGGTATTTTTACTATAGATTCTTGTAATGGTCTTTGAATATGCACCATGTCTTTTTTTCTTTCTCATTTTGCAAGTAATCCTATTGCTTCTTCTACTTCTTTTTAATTTATTGTCAATCATTTTTTTCTTCTTCTTTATCTTTAAGCAAAATTTCCAACTTCTATTAGCTACTTAAAGAAAAAGACCCATTTTATTTGGATCTAATTATTATTTTTTATTTTTTGATAAACAAGAATTTTTTCTTTTAAACTCTCTTAATAATTCTATTTCTTAAAGATCCTTCTTAGGCCTTTCAATTCATTCAAAAAATAACTCCTTTGTAATTCGGTACCTATCTTCCAAGAAAAATTTATCTTTCAATGCTTGAAAAAAATTCTCCCATGAACCTCCAAAACATCTTATATTGGACTTTCCATGATTTCTTATTTTTGAAGAAAAAGCTAATTCAAATAATTGAACCATCTCTTTCTCGAAAACAAGCTTCAATTCTATTTCTTTAATATAATATTTTAAATATTTTATAATGTCTTTTTTTTGAATTAATCAATCTTATCAACAATCACTTATAAAACTTTATTTGTCTTATCCTCTTTGTAAACTTTAACTTGTTGTTGTTGCATAAATAAAGCAAAGATTTCAAAAATACTTTTCAAAATTAGGTTCAAAATATATATCTTGTCTTCTATTAATAGTTCCATTTGTAATTCTACTTGAAGCTCCAATTAAAGTACCACGTATAGTTCTTCTTTTTATTGTCTTTCCTTCTTTCTTTATAATTCAAATAAACTAAGAAATCCAAATATCTTCTATCTCAAGTTTTTCATGTGAGATTTATTAAATATGTTGTATACCGTGGAGTTTGCTTAAGAATGCACCATGTATTTGGATGTGGAAGATAAAATAGAATCTAAAATAATAAAATTTTAATAATTCTAATAAAATCTTAAATAAATTCTAATTAAATTATAAAATTTTAATCAAATTTTAATCAAATTTAAACAAAGTCTTAAAAAAACTACAAAAAAAATATAGAGAATTGATAAATTATTCTTATAAAAATACATATAATAAAGAGATCATTAAAAAATAATAAAATAAAAATTCTAAAGAAATTTCAAATAATTTTTAAAAAAATATTAGAAAGATAAATAT